TGCAGGTTTCTGTTAATCAGGAGGAGGAAAAAGAATATAAGAGTCTGAGGTATGATCGAGTGCCAACCAACCTGAACGAGGGAACCGCTGGACCTGATGTGTTTCTTTGGTACAAAAAAGAGAGTAGCAAAGATCCCATCAGAATGATCACCCTGCTCGTTGACCCAGCTGCACCACGGATGTTTAAAATCGCCAAGGCCACGGTCATCAACAAGAATCTCAATGAGGGAAACAAAGGCACCCCAGAGTACCTGTGCTTTAGTCGTTTCTGAGCTCAGTGAGAGGAAATAATCACTGATGCATTTCTTATCATATACTCAATGAAATTGTATCTCTGTCTCTCAGATCCTGTCATTTCTGAGTCTGATTTTTCTGTTTTAATAAAGACGAGCATCTGATCCTGCCTACTATCGTTTATTTCATTACAACGTTTATAAAACCAGACACCAAAGGTAAAACAAGGACCTGGGCACCTTTTAAAATATAATATAATAATAAGGTTGGTTGACTGCATCAGGGATTATTTAGAAGTTTCTTGAACATTTTATAGCTCAAAAAAAGAAAAAATTAAATGAACTCCACTTTCTACTTAATATTTAACACCTATGCTGTGTTTGTTCCCTTTATCTTTTCTATTTTCTAGGTGAGTTCATCATTGGTAGATGTTTCTGAACAAAAAGGAGCATTTCTGTCTTTGAACATCCAAGTCTGTTTCTCTGACATTTGCAGCATCAGAAAACAAACTCTCTCTGTCTCTCACAAGGTAATATCTGTGAAGCCATTTTGCTTGCTTCTCCAGTAAACCATGGGGCTCTCAGACCATGGAACGGTAGGCTCTGACAGGTAGACTTGGATCTAAAAGAGTAGAACAAAGGAACAAAAACTAAATGATAGATTTGACTATTTAATTTTTTTGTGTGAGAAAATTAAAACTTTTATGAACTTAGCTCTGATAAATCGCATCTTCCTCTGATGCAAAACTAGGGGTTTACAGCAATAACCAGGATCCAGTTTTCCTTTGAAGGTAGAATGGAAGAAAGTCTGGTCAGTGACCAGTACACCAAGATCCACAGAGACAAGAACTACGGTCTCAGTGGTTGCAGCCCCTTCTACCTGTGGGACCTCAGAAGAACCACTGAGTATGATGTTCCAATAGTGGAGCTTAAAGTTTCCACTGATGCAGCAGGTGATGCTGAGATGTCACCCCCACCTTACCCCCTGCATAACATCCCAGCATGGTGATTGATACCAGAGTTCTCCAAGATCTCTCCATCTCAGCTTCAGCAAAACAGTTTAACACAGAAACGAGTATCAGGCCATCACAAGTTTCAGGGACACAACTGGATATTCAGTATAAAAGGTATTAGAAAATTAGTAAATGCGAGATAACATTATATACTGTATAACATTATGACTGTATGATCTGGTTGAACTGTAAAGTGCCTTGAGATGACATGTGTTGTGAATTTGGCACTATATAAATAAACTGAATTGAATTGAAACTGAATATACATTTGTTCCAAGAAAGGTCCACAATTATTCAATCTATAAATAGCAGCTGAATCATGTGGACTGAATATAGCTGTTCTGAGTGTGTGTATGGGGGGGTTGATGACACAATGTAGACATGAAGGTGATATGAATACTTAAGAAACTCAGAAATGCATCAAAACATTGTGAACCTGCTGAAGAAACAGTGATAATGAAAAGATTAACACCAGAGAATCCCCATGGTTACAGCAATAAATGTTACAGCATTTTATAGTGGACCCACACATAGGATGTGGAGCCAAACACTTAACTTTATTATTTACTTTGTTTATTTAGTGTTTTTATTTTATTTTAATTTGTTCCCATTTTTTTTATCTTCTTTGAAAGTAAGATTTAAGAAACTCAACCTCTCAGAGCCCAACAAACATACGAAAACAAGTTAATATTCAAAGGATGACTAAATTGACAAAGAGCAAGAGGTACAGAGAGAGTATTTTTTTGGCCAACCAAACCAAAGAGACTCCCAAAGAAGTCCCAAAGGCAGCTGTGGAGGGCACCTTCACTGAATGTGGGAGGGTACAAACGATGCTGTGTCCAAATGTCTGCCCTAACCACTATATAGGGCACTATATAGGAACAACCACTATATAGGGCACTATATAGTGGTTAGACCATTTTTAATGTGTGTTTGAAAGTCTAGAGGATAAAAAGTAGTGGACTTAAAACTTCCCACAATGCAGCTTGAAAAGTAGTGATCATCCACTCTCACTAGATGAGCAGATATGTTCCAGAATGCTTTGCAGGAGCTGTCCTTGCAAAGTATCATGGGATTTGTTTTGGTGGCAAGAAAGAACCAAGATGGCACAGGCACCATGTGGGGAAATGGAGCCTCGTGACCAACGGTGCAGCAAAAACTAGTCATCATCTTTCCGAACACTCAGTTAACTGGCCGACGCATAACAACACACAGAGAGATGAAGTTGGACATTTTTTTTATGATAATTTATTTGTTGTAATCAAAAAAGAATACTGGATGAACTTTACCATACAGTTTACTTGCTACCGGCGAAAGGTGCCGGGTCCAGAACGTTGGACCCAGAATTCAGGCAGACAGACTGAGGGGATTCATAAAAAGTGTTTTTTAACTGCTCAGGGATCTGCGGCTCATCAGCATTAATTAGGCATATCTGTAGAGGTGGAAACACAGGTTAATGACCATGTAACCCTGATGGGGAACGATTGCTAGCATGTGAGTCACTAACCTGGTTTTTAAGTTCAGTCTGAGCCCAGAGGAAGGAGAGGAATCCAGCTGTACGATTTTCCACAGCACACGGCGGGAGCTGCCCACAGACTTCCAGGAGTGAAGTCAAAGGTCAGGTAAACAGATCAGAACAGGGGCAGGCAAACTCAGAAGTCCAGGAGCTGAAACTAGTCAGGATCAGGCAATCACAATACACACACTGTGTACGCTAGAGAAC